GAGTATGTCCAGGTTTTTTTTCTTATTCATAACTATTTTCAACATTTTTGAAGTTATGGTTGATCCGTTTTTAATATGTTTTGCACTTTTTTGTAAATACTATACTTTTGTATATAACATTGTTATATTATAACTGTTTGTTATAATAGAATTAATTCTGAAAATTCATTAGGATTAAAATCAATAAATGTAATTTCAGTACCGTAAAATACAATACAAAATGTGACAATTCAGTGTTTCTTAGGTGTTTCATATCCGTGTAGACAATTTTGCAGGCGCTTGACCATTTAATAAAAAATTTCTTAAAAAATAAAGAAAGAATAAGTCTAAAAAGAATGTCGAAAGAAGGGATCGAACCTCGGACCCCTCATGCATTAGGTAATCACTTTACCGACTGCGCTATTGCGGATGTTACGAGAACCTTTATTAAGCTAGTGGGAGTTATCCAAACGTTATTTATATGCTCCATAATAATTCTCGTAAAATAAACGGACACAACCGAAATGGGATCGAATATTTAAATGTGTGCTATAATGTATTCATAATTGACAGGTCAATAAAATCAGACTATACCTGTATTGAAAGAGTTGCTTGCAATGTGTAAGCTCACTTGACAATATTTTACTTTTTGATACATTTTCAAAATGTTCATGAAAAATAAGCATGAATCTCATTCTGGAGGCATGTTTCAGGAAATTTTTATAATGTGAACTGACTAAATAGGGAACAGTGCAGTCCATGAACAGACAGCACGGATATGCCTGCTGGTCTTGGTGTGCACTGGTCATATAAGCAGAAGCAGTTGCCCCCAGTTTAAACAGTGGACAGTAATGGAGAATAATCCAGATACAAATAAACTTTGACTAATAAAGGAATGTAATAATAATTTACATATCTTCTGAGACCTTTATGATAATGATAAAATCAAACATTATTTCCAAATTTTCAAGATATTGTCAGATTAAACAAAGGGAGAGCATTACAAAATGGCACCAGTCACAGACAGAGTTAGAGTTCTTGAGTCCAGCACTATTCTTGCTCCCATTTAGTCTAAGTTTAAGTTTCAAATAATTTCTTTTTATAGTCTACAACATGACACTCAAATCTTAAAAATACAGTCCTTTGACTCTAAACATCTATATAGAATTAAACACTACAGATATGGTAAAATATATAGCCCACCAGAAATTGATACACACATGTATTTACAAATTTATCTCCAACTGCAAGTGTTACATTTATTTGAGACATATAATAATCCATCCATTTCTAATTTATAAGATACATGTTCTCCACAATTATAAACAAATTCAACATTCCGAAGTATTACATAATGACCTTGTTGAATTCACCAAAACTAATTTTCCCTTTACTTATTCACAGCTCAACATTTGTCATTGTCTTATACATATAGGTTATATTGGTTTTCAGACCCTAGGGATGTTTATTTTAGATATATACATTAGACGTTGGTCACAAAATGTATCTAAAATTGACACTTCATTATAATTGGTACTATCCAATTACTATAACAATTATTATCCTCTAGGTGCCGTTACTGTTTACCTAACCTCCTGTATTGAGAGATCTTCAAACACTGCAATAATCCTTTTTATCACAACTAATTCTTTCAGCTATCACAAAATTTCAATACTTTCTTTATCTTTATCCATTGCATATTTTACAACATGTTCAAATGATTATTTCTTGTGTTTTAAGTATTTAATATCATGTAAACATTGAAAAGTATGCAAATTTATTGGTCCATTTAATTTTCAAGCAATAAAATGCCAGCAATAAAATGTCAAGTTAGATTTAAAAATGAAAGGTTTTTATTAGCAGCAATTGTATATGGTAATTAATGATTTATAAACTAAATATCAGGTGTCCTTCTTCCATAAATGGTAATATATAATGTTACTTTTAATTGTCTATATAAAACAATAGAATATTTTACAACATTTCTTATTTCATTACACAGATGAAAGTATAGATTATATAGATTAAAGCCACCATTGTTGAGGAATTTTAAAAAATCTTTCTTAATCTCATTACACACATCAATGAATCTGAGCAATATATTATTGATATTTTTTAACATATTTTTTGAATATCTTAAGAATGAGAATATGCTGAATCAATATATATTTTTAAGGATCAGCAATCAATAACTCGGTCAAGTATTTATCTACAATAAAAAATCTTTTCTTTGACATCTTTCCAATACAACATGGTATGAAGCTTTACAGAAATATTCATATTTGATGCCATAAATTCAACCTGGGCAATTCACAAGGACAGTTGATAAGAAAAGGTCAGGACCTATGTAAAAGAAAACCCACAGGAACCTTCTCAATATCACATGTAATTAACCATACAGTAAAACTGCAGGTGTATGTAACTGTGCTGTTACAGTCATGTACTTTGACAGAAGAGGTGCTACTGTATGAGTTCAACAACATCATATAGTTTATCACAATATAACAAGTGGGACATTATTTCCAGTGGAAAGTCTTGAACATTTATCCATCACATCAGACAGAAAATAATATTACAATTGAATAATCCGGTATCACAATTACAAACGGAAATTAACAAGACTTTTTTGTAAATCTAAATCACAACCCAGAATCCAGTTTCAGTCCAATATTCATTTATCCATTCTTCATTTACACATATTGCAAAAAAAATTACTGAAATTAAATGATCTACGAAAACCATCATTAAACATAGTTTTCACACATACGATATGCCAGAGTTAAGGGGTTATAATTATATGTAAGCTAGATGGTTTAAGAGATACATACTGAAATATAGAAAATTCTCACGATGTTTCTTTTTCTTTCTTAATTTACAGATTAAATGATGCATTTCATCGCGAAGTATTTAACTTGCACTACTTTTAACATCAATGAATAATAGTTTATTACGTATAATGACTAGCATAAAAAAACTTTTTTTTAATAATTTTATTATTTTGTTTTTTTTACACCTCCCAAACATTTTGCATTGAAATAGTGAAAGGAGCAATGTCATCCATCTAAATATAATGAACACATTAAGTATACTATAAATTATTATACTATCATGAAAATCTATGGGTATATTCACATTATTCCTACACTTGAGTGAGAATATATTTTTAAACACTTTCTTAACCACATAAAGAACAGAATGTTTCATTTATTTTTACATTGACTATGAAAAGATGTATGGAAACTTAACTTCTCGCCACAGGCTTTGGGCATTTGGTAAACAGGTTTACTGTTTTTACTTTAAGTCCTATAACTGTTAAACTTTCTTTACTTGAAACAACTAGTATAGGTTAGTGTTTAATAATATGCATTAACAAAAATAATTGGTCAAGCCTGCCGCAGGCAGGCGACCAATTATTTTTGTTAATGCATATTATTAAACATTAACCTATTTAATGATCAACATTATTTTTTCAACCAAAAACAAGGCATTTCACTAACCGATAGCTCCGCCTTTTCGCTCTACAAGATGTCTACACCTTGTCAAGTTTCTAACATATCACATTTAGATAAGCTAAATAAATGGCCCTATCAACAAATAATCAGCCACATTTTTTCCTGAAATGTCACAGAATTTATACCTTTATCTCATGTCTCTATAGAATATCTGTGAAAAAAAAACAGCGAGGAAGATGATGCAATTAGGTAAAATCAATGGAGTTAATGAAATGTGTACATCCTTTATAAATAAATGGAAAATGTGAGAAAATACATTAGATTAATAATTTATACAAATTCGTTGTTAGCTTTAAGTTATTCACTAATATTTAAAATCCCTATTGATTTGCTCATTTGAAAAACAGTTGACTTTTTTCTGTGTGTCAGTCTAGGTTTACAGGTGGTACAATAAGTTTTCTAGCCAAAATATGTAATCATTGTATTCTTAATATCAAATATTGTTTATGCAGTTCATTCCTATCAGCTGAAATAAAATTATGTTTTGGTTACTTTTTCTAGAAAAAAAAAAGAAGTTTAAAACAGTCAGCAATTTATAGCAGACATTTTTCTTAGGAGTTAAAAGGATATAAAAAAGTTACTATGTAATCATTTGTCTCTGCGTGCCCAACATGTATTATCTATGTAATAAATCAATTGATTGTATCCTCACATTTAGTAACACCTGACCTCGACTATTTTTTTTATGTTGGCATTGTTTTACTAACCTTGACATTTTACAAATCAGAGTGTTAACCATACCTCTAACTCCTCCCTAATATAATGCATTATTGAAATTTGTTAGACTCAGGTTAGACGACAGATTAAGTGAATTTTATTTAGTTAGTACACATTAACCAAAGTTAGACTAAGCTGAAATTTGAAAAATACTACAATGTGATTGGACAAAAAATAATGTTGATCATTAAAGTATGTTCTGGGGAATCATATCTCTAGCATTAGAGAATACTCTTGTTTATTCATAATGATAGTCCAAGAAGCATTTTGTGATTATTCTTGTCTTCTTTTGTTTGTTTTCATCTTATTTCAAATAAAAATACATTTAAATACTTTTATGAAAATAAACATAAAAAAGTATACTACATAATAATAATTTCTATTTTGCTGATTCATGACTATTAAATTTGCCATGATACTGATAAATTTGTTTTTTTTAAATTCAAATTTAAAAGGTTATGGATATTTATATAACTGTGGCAATAAAAATATTGATAATTGTAGTATTGATGTTTCTCACTATAAGCCACTGTTTTCATTACTGTGAGGCTTTTAGCATCATTTTGTTTTCCTTAACAAGGAACTTCTTCCACTCTATAACTATGGGGCTTTAGATGTACTGATCTTATGTCCATTATTGTACAGGTTTTTGCTCATTTTGCATTGCTCTCTGTTCTTGGAATCAAGAGATTTACATCTCTTTAATGTCATTCCAGTAGAAAATCTTTGGAGGAACTTACACAAAATATAGGTATATTCCTATAGAACTATTTTACTTATTTAGACACCTACCTATTATCTCCTCTAACTAGAGTGGCCAGGGTGTTCCGATATAATAGTGTGTTCTCTCTTGATTCCTCCGCTAATAAATCTCCAAAAGATCCAGCTGTAAAAGAGAAAGCTTACTTATTATTAATAGTATACCTTTAATATATGCCCTTAACCACTTATATACTGATAGTATTGTCAGGAGAGAGACAGCAACCATTATCCTGCTATAACAGACTTGTTCATCTTTCAATCTGGACAAAACCATTCATCATATTTATGGAAAATTTCAAAATATGTACAGACAGAAAAGGGAACAGTGCATGACAATAACCAGACAGCACATATGTGCTGGTATTGGCCACATGGGTACAACTAATTGACCTATTAATGCATTTTTATAGAAACAAAATTACAAATAAATTATAAGACATTAATGTTTAATAATAAGTACATTGTATTGTACATTTACTATCAGGGAAAGTAATACAGGAAAAAATATTTCTGACAATAATTTTTGATTACTTCCCTTACAATATATATTTTTGGCTTGTGGCCACAGCCGCAAGCCATTTGTTTTGGAAAAGTTGTTCCAGTCAGGTGGTTTCCTGCTTACATTTGTTAGTGCATGATGGAACGGGAAACCAGCCTAGGTTTCCGCTGCAATCGTGACAATTCAGGTGATTCCGTCATACTACGGAATCAGACAAAGTAATAATACGGAAATCTAAGCTACTTTTAGTTACTTCGGTAATCCCAGTTTGTTTATATAAATAGGATTTCTCTATCACATTTGTCTGCGATTGAGTTATATTTAGATCTACTGTTTGCAATTCTAATGTGGAGTTAAAACTACAGTATAACGTCATCTAAAAATAGCCCATGCATATCATTAACCTTACCACGTGCCGATCTACAGATAGCGCATCCTGTGTTGTCGGTATATCTGTGATCAATACATAATTGACATAGATATTTTAGGTGTAACATCGTTGATACATGCATATTAATTGGTACCACGTAACGAAGTCTTTTAGTGCATTTTACTTGTCTATAAAGCTGCTATTTAAATGAAATTAGCAATTGCCAAAACAAATTACTCTCTCTGGAAATGAAATGTGCACACTTGTTTCCCTTCAGTATGATAGATAGATACTTTTATTTCCTCCACGTGGGAGAGCAAATGTTAGTATTTTTACAATTAATTATTTTCATTATTAGTTTTATACAATAGAGAATAGATTTTGAATCATTTTTGGCAAAAAAATATTTGTTTTTACAAAAAAAAGTTGTTACTGTTATCGTCAGCATGTTCCGGTTCAGCTATGATCAGTGGACTTCTGGTCCTTCTGGCACAAATGTGCAGAGGTGCTCGTCCAGTCTTGGGGTTACCCTATCTACCCCTTTAAAAGTGAAACTTTTTTTTTTCTCGAAAAAAACAACAACAACAACAAAAAACAACTAAATAAACTCTTTATGATATACAAATAATAAAAGAATAGTGATAATTAATTGACCCTCTATACCTGTAAAAACATAGGTACCTTGTTTTTTTTACTGGTATATAAGGTTGATTTATTTTTTTTTATAATTATTTCTTTATCATAAAGAATTGATTTAGGAGGTTTTTCAAAAAAAAAAACATTTTTAAAGGGATGGGGTGATGGCACAACTGGGCAAGCCTTTCCTTTTAAAAGGAAACTTTATTTACCTTTCTGTCTGAGTTTGACTTCCTGTACATGATGGGCAGGGAACCATCCATCTTTATCATTCACCATACCTTCCCAGAATCCTGTGTCCGATACACTCATCACTGAAATACAAGATATTTATTTTTCACAGATGATAAATCGGGAAGAACTATTTCTCTGTTTTATTTGCAAAACTATTATAAAACAAACTTGTTCATCTTTTATTCTGAATAAAACTATTCATCAGTTTTATGGTGATTTTCAAAACAAGTACAGTGGTACAGATGTGCTGGTTGATCTTGGTCTACACTTGTTGCATGGCTAGAATTAGTTGCTTAAAGTCAATGAAAGAACGTTTCAAAGATATATATTGGGAGATTTTGTCCATTATATTTCAAAAGTTAAGAATAGAGACTTCTAAAGGCCTCAACAGACAGTAGGATTTAGTTGTTCAACACTAATTAGAGATAAGATGTACAATTTTCAAAGCAATACAACACTTGCATTCAGATGGTAATTCTACACTGTAGGAATTATCTGAGGTTTCCCTAAAAAGGATCCCTCCCAATTGATCCTTTACACACTTTACTCACTAAATACTTTTTTTGCCATGAGTAAATCTGTGCGACAAGATTTTCAAAATAGAACATGTATCCCTTACATCTAGACTTAAGGTTTCCAAATTCAAGAAATAGTAGTCTTCAAATATTAAGATTTGCCTGTACACCTTAGTTTTAATTGGTGTTGTACTTCAAAATCCTACCGTCTGTTGAGGCCTTTAGTTAAAATTGAGAAATATTCATTCATACATAGTAGCCTTTGTTTAACAAATATTTTCGAGTGGCATTATAGATATGCAAATGATGCAGGTACATTTAAGTTATAAATAAGAAGTAATGCATGTCCACTACAAAACAGTAACAAGAACCGGTTGAACTGGGTGATGCTCCCCGAGAAGGTTTTGGACACAGGAAAGTATAAAAAAATGAACAAAGGGCAAAAAATCCAAAATTAGGCAAGGCAGAGTTATGGTTTTTTTGCACTGCACTTCTATTCAATGAGATCTATCTATCTACAAAGTTTCGTGATGATATCTCTTATAGTTTCAGAGTTATGTCCCGAATAAAATTCAAAGTGTAAAAATGAACAATGGTCAATAACTCCAAAGTTAGACAAGGCTTTGTTTAGGCTTTTAAGCATTGCAGTTCTATACAATAAGATCTATCTACCTACAAAGTTTCATGCTGACATCTCTAATAGTTTTAGAGTAATGTCCCGGACAAAAGTAAAAAAATAAAAATAAACAAAGGGCAATAACTTCAAAATAAGGCAAGGCAGAGTTATGGTTCTTTAGCACTGCACTTTTACCCAATGAGACCTATCTACCTACAAAGATTCATGTTGATATCTCTTATAATTTTAGAGTTATGTCCTGAACAAAGTTCAAAGTGTCAAAATGAACAAAGGGCAATAACTCCAAAATTAGGCAAGACAGAGTTATGTTTCTTGTGCACTGCAAACCTACTCAATCAGATCTATCTACCTACAAAGTTTCATGTTGATACCTCTTATAGTTTTAGAGTTATGATCCAGACAAAGATCAAAGTATAAAAATAAACAAAGGGCAATAATTCAAAAATTAGGCAAGGCAGAGTTACGGTTCTTGTGCACTGCACACCTACTCAATGAGATCTATTTACCTACAAAGTTTCATGTTGATATCTCTAGTTGTTTCAAAGTTATGTCCCGGACAAGAAAAGCGGCCGGACAGACGGACAAAGCGTCGACTATATGTTCATCCTTCGGGGAGCATAAAAATGTTACATACAGGAAATACAATGAATACAATGTGCGCATGTTCTACATTAAATGTAAAAAAAAACAACTGTAATTATCATAGTGAAAGCAAATCTCAGTTTAATATGTTTTTGTTATCATAGCAAGTAAGAAGTATAGAAAAAGCATTGGTTTATAAATATAATGATTATGAACAAGATAAAAAGTGTATTAGTGTAAAGTAATGAACTCAAACAAAATAACTACTAAAATGATAAAATAGCAAAAAAACAACCAAGTTATTAATAGTTAAGTGTTAAAATGAGCTGAAAGTATAACACATGGAAATAGCTGTAGATAAATATATAACTATGGCTATACTTGCAGAGAAACATATAACTATGGCAATACTTGCAGAGAAATATATAACTATGGCAATACTTGCAGAGAAATATATAAATATGGCAATACTTGCAGAGAAATATATAACTATGGCAATACTTGCAGAGAAACATATTACTATGGCAATACTTGCAGAGAAACATATAACTATGGCAATACTTGCAGAGAAATATATATTTATGGCAGTACTTGCATAGAAATATATAACTATGGCAATACTTGCAGAGAAATATATAACTATGGTAATACTTGCAGAGAAATATATAAGTTAATTCATAACTATGGCAATACTTGCAGAGAAATATATAACTATGGCAATATTTGCAGAGAAATATATAACTATGGCAAAACTTGCAGAGAAACATATTACTATGGCAATATTTGCAGAGAAATATATAACTATGGCAATACTTGCAGAGAAATATATAACTATGGCAATACTTGCAGAGAAACAATAACTATGGCAATACTTGCAGAGAAACATATTACTATGGCAATACTTGCAGAGAAACATGTAACTATGGCAATACTTGCAGAGAAATATATAACTATGGCAGTACTTGCAGAGAAATATATAACTATGGCAATACTTGCAGAGAAATATATAATTATGGCAATACTTGCAGAGAAATATATAACTATGGTAATACTTGCAGAGAAATATATAACTATGGCAGTTAATTACTTTAAAAATGTACCATTATGTTAACAGCTGCAAAACTACAACATAATAGCAATAACTGCAGCAAATGAAAAATGATGGCAATAGTTGCACACACAAAAATTATCCACTGGAAATGAACATCAATGAACTTTTAAGAAAAATTCATATTAAAACTTTGGATACATAAGTATGATCTTAATGTATGAGTTAGAATAGTTAACTGGACCAAAGCATCAATGCATTTTTATTCTGTGTGACCTTCACCTAACAAACTGCATGTATGTTGTTGCCCTTTAAAATGATCATAAATACATTGTATAAAATATAGATTGAATAAAAGATATATTTATGGGTGTAAAATGTGAATATAGATAATCAGCTGGTTATACAAAGGTGACTACATGTGACATAAATGTTCTGAAAACATATTTTCTATATAGAATAATAGTTATATAAAATTTAGAAACTTAGGCAAAAAGACGCAAGCTTAGTATTTGTATTTCATAATACATGTATTTATGAAGTCTCATACATCTTGATACTTTATACTTGAGGGAAATTATGACTCGCTCACCTTTTCTGAAAAACATATTCTTTAATCAGTTAAAATTTTCTCTATTCTCCTTTAAACATATACAGAAGATTTTTTTTAACAAAAGATTTCAAAGAAAACGGCCTTTAAATTTAGGTCCTAGCAGTCAGATGGTCCTAGCAGTCAGATGAATAAAAGAAAAACAAATAATAGAACAAAACATGTTTTCTACATATGATATTTTTCACTCTCCTGGCATCTTTTTGCCTACATGTCTGTATTATATAAGGATTTTATTCTGAAATAAAGGAATCTGTTAAAAGGTATAAAGGTGAAATAACTTCCATGCATAGGTGTGCGATGGTGGAGGTCATTTCTATTAGTGCGTATGAAGCTGTATACATAGAACAGAATAAAACCTTGTACGTAATCTCCCAAGTTTAACTGCAAACCTCCAGGACGACTTGGTCTAAATGGCTCTATACAAATAAATGTCTTATCTAAAAGACTTGGCTCTAAATTCACTTTTCCCAGTATTTCAGATGCTTGGAGTAACACTGATCCACCAGAAGCTTGCAAAACTGGATTTTGTTTCCATTTACTTAATTCTTTTGAATCAGGGAATATAAATATCTCTGGACTAGTTCTAATCATTCTTTCATCAGTTTGTACTGCTGAACCAAGGATGAATTTCACTTCTGTATCCTCTTGACTTATATTTCCAACACTCAGTTTTCGTTGTTGTAAATCACTCACAGAATTTTCTCTACTGTCAAACTGTAATTGTTCTTCCTGTTGTAACTGGTCATCAAAGTTTTCATCTATAGTTCTTCCGAGTAAATTACCAGCATATGTATATCGCCGTTGCCTCGTAGAAAAATCTCGCCTCATATGCATTTCATGCTGTGGACTTTGCATAGAATATGTTGGTGTTATAGCCATTCTTGCTAGACCTTAAGATGTAATCAAGAATTTTCAAAATGCAGTCAATTTTAAGAGATCTTGAAGGAAAAACATTACATCAAAATAACCAATCAATCTGATCAAACTTTGAACTGGAATGATAGAAATACATCAAAGTTGCTATTTCTGTTTAATTTACATACATAGTAAAAGTTTTCAAAGTGTTGAGATAGGCATTTCCTATCCATTTAAGTTTTAACCATCTAAAGTCTTTAAATCTCTCAGATATATTCAATAGAAGAAAAAAGTTCTGTGACTCTACTTTAAAAATTGTTTACACTTAACTACCCCTTCCAATTTTTAGTTTTAGAGTTAAAAGTTCATTTTGATTTGAATTAAAAATCATAATTATTTACCTTACACAACAGTTTCTGTCATCAATATCATGTTTAATAGACAAATACGTCTGGCAAAACTATCTTTAAGATCAGAAAAAAATTGAAAAATGGAAACTAACAAGGAGACAGTTAATTATTGCAGCAAACAGTTCCTAGATTGAGAAATTTATAAGCTATAACAATAAATAGGTCTCATCTCTCATTATTACAAGTCAACAAAAACAATGGGTCATACAAATACCAGCATGAACAAAGCATCAGAAAAAAGCGCCAAGCATTGGATGTTAACATTGTTATAAGGTAAAAATGACACAAGATAAAGTCCTTATAAAATAAGCACTATCAAATATTATAAATAGTTTGTTTGCCCTTTCGACAACAACAGAAATTATTAATGTACATGAAACATATAAAAACTTACCAGGGCCTGAACTATTACTGGATATACTCATTGAACGTGGCGAGTCTGATCCCCGAGATGCAGAATATGATCCTGAGTCGGAGTACATCTGATAATGTTGAGGCAAGCTTCTCATAGATGACGGTGGTGATGTTATATTACTGTCATCTATTGTATTTGTTATGTTTAATTTAGGGTCGCTACGACTTCGTGACATCAGTGACATTGTACTTGAGTACATGGAGAGTCGAGGTCTACGGCTACTAAATGATGGCATCTCTCGGAATGGTACTGAAACATTATTTTATATAATATTTTAGTTCTATCTATATGACAAGTTGATATGAAATCGATTAATTCTCAATCTTAGAGACTCAAGTATACTTGTAGCTAGACTTTTCATAATCAGCTTGTAACTACTATGGTGGTAGATAGACTTTACATAATCTTCAGGGTAGAGACTTCACTATACTGTAAATAATTTCTTAATATTCATTTGCTTGTAAGACAAGCATATGTGTGACTAAGACTCTACAATCATTAGCTGTACACATCATAATATGCAGACTAGAGAGATATCTGACAAAAATCTAGTATTATACTATATAGTATTATCTTAGAGTATTGTTAAATATAAAAGTATTGTTAAATATTGCAATTACTATTACACGTATACCAAAGATGTCTCTGTTATAACCTTCTAATGTTTGAATGGAATAAAGTCAGGACTAATTTTGAGAAACTAAAAGAACAGCTTAAGAGGTAAAAGGCATATCAATTTGCAGTAATATACTGTTAATTCACTTAATTTTATGGTTTTTATCAAAAAAAAAAAAAAAAAAAAAATTTCAGTGAGTCTTTTTAAGTGTTGGATTGTCAGCAAAAGCAGTTGGTAGGACAGCGTGCTCAACAATTTTCAGTGCATGATAGTAAAACAAAAGCCTGGATAAGATAAGGTTATGAGTCTTGGATACTGCCCCAAGAATTTTACTATGGGTCTTATTTTATTGAAAATCCATACCAGACTTATGGGTCTAATGGACAGTGTCCATGAATTGTAATTCAAAAAGTAATTTGATAAAATAGTAATGTTGCAAGCAAAACTTTAATCAAAAATTATTTTAATTTTTTCAAATTGGATAGTGACATTCAATTATGTATTTACCGTATTTATCGGACAATAGGCTGTGGCCTGTATGTTAAAAACAGACAAAACTTTAGCAATGTGTTTTATTTCAGAAAATTTATGAATCCCAAACTTAAGAATTCCTGTCTGACAGCCATGAGAACAACACAAATGTAAGAATCACAGACTTACTATAACCAATATTCATTTTATTCATTCAAAGCATTACAAATCATATCAAACAGTACATTATGAATGGTCACCAAAATAAACTATCAGTGATCAAAACATTTGATCTGACTTGAAATTTTTTATATTTACTGTTCATAATAGTTAAATAGTGCTTTATTTTGGCATACTTGTGACAGATTAACAGCCAACAGTGAAAAGCTCTCTAAATTATATCATGTATCTATTGTATTTTAGACAATTGAATAGCCACACTATGATAGTTGCACTTGAATACACCTCTGACTGTTTGTTTCATGGTATTGTGCAATAAAAATGACAATTTTGATGGTACTGGTAAATGTATCAAAACATCTCATAAATAGATCTACTTTTACTTTTAGAGTCTTCATGATCAATTAACCAAAACAAAAGGTTAATATGCTAATCCCTAAAGCAAGTCTTATCTGAAAATGTCTAATATTGTATATAAATAAGGCGTATTGGCTGCATCCTATGTGCCTGAGCGCCCTACAAGACTTTTTTTATTTCTAAAACGGTAAATATGAAAATGCACAGCTCTTACAATGCAGCAACCTATTGTATTGTGTAAAATATGTTACATTGGTATAAACCTTTAGTTGTTTTGAAGATTAATGTTGCCTGCAACACTTTTACCAAGATTTTTTTTAGTTCTTAAAGGGCTATAATTCAGTCAAAATCCATGCTAGAGTTATGGGTCTTGGAAAGTAGCCTCCTCAAAGAAATATATTAGATTTCACATGAATACATTCAGTAGTTTTAAACATTGATGTTGCACAAAAAACTTGAAGCAAGTCAAAAAGGGCCATAATTCAGTCAAAATCCATGTCAGTTGTGGGCGTTGGAAACTGACCTCCTGTTATCCTCTAAAATAAGTGTGTGTAATTACAAGCCTTATAGGTTTATGACATATGATATTGCATTCAAAACTTTAATCAAAGTGTTATGCAAGAATTAGTAGAATGGCCCTACTATTCTTGGAATAGTCAAGCTAAAAAGTAAAAGGCAAAATTCTAATACACATAGTGTAATAAAAATAATAGTACTGATGACAAAATCCAGGAAAACCACAAAATTTCCCCACAAATAGTAATGATTTGCAGTAAGCATGTGATGCCAAAAATTATGATAATGATACAAAACTATCTTTTTTAGGAGCATAAAACACAATATAATATTGTAAAATAATTCTCAGTAGGAAAAATTGTAACTAAAGCAAACTGCAAATCCTTAGATCTTAATTCAAGATTAAAAAAAACCCAACAACAAAACAACAATAAAGCTATGCCCATATCACATACCAACTTGACTGTCATCAAAATTTTTAATAAGTTCCGCAAGAGCAACATTGCCAGCTATAATGGCAACCTGCTGGGCAGTCTGATTGTTAAAGTTGAGGATATGTTTGTTGGCACCACGGAACAATAAAACACGGGTACACTGTTCATTATTGTTCACAGCACAAACATGTAATGCTGTATTTCCACTTGCATTTGCTACATTTAAATCCGCACCATAAAACATAAGGTGTTCCAAATGTTGCACTAACCCCAATTTACATGCCTGTAAGTAAAAAAACAAATAATTCTATTATTTTCATTTATAAGGAATGGCAAATTTCCAAAAGGAAATTTCATGCTTAAAAATCAAGTTAGAAGAACTGGCGAAGTATCACTTTTAATTTATAGTTTGAAGTTACAACAATATAGGCAATAAATTGAATGTACCTACTGACATAAATAATTTAAGATGAGACTTAATTTCAATAATGTTTAATTGACTAATTTATAACAATGGTTTATCAATATGATATTAACTAGTAACTTTCTTAAAAGACAAGTAAAATGAAATATAATAACAAAAGAGTGAACATTTTTGACACATAAACTGGTAAGTTTAAGTTTTGATTATCATATAGATTTATGACAATACAGGGAACATGGTATGATTTACAAAGTGTCTTTCAAAACAAAAAGGTCATGATGACCCTATATTGTTCAGCCTGAAATCTGTTGTGGGCCATATTTGGTCCTAGGGGCATGTGTATTATAACTTTTGTAGGGTACTTCATGCTCAAGACTAAGTAAAATTCACTCAAGAAGATTCAAATGTATTTTTCTATTTAGGTTTACTGTAAAATAGGTTGGGTAGAAACATGATTTATTGTAAAAGACCACAACACAAGGTAATGCTTTATACAAAATATCTAAGCTCTGGGTATTGTAAATTCTGGGTATTTCCTATACAAGAAAATGTAACAAAAGTTGCAATTTATTTCAGCAATCTAAATAAAATTCACTACACAATATCTTAGATGAGGCCTTGAGCTTAAAAGATCTTTGTAGGTACAAGTATGTTAAATCAAGTTACTTGAGGAAGGAGCCAATTTCAACTTCTGTCAACTTCTGGGTTATAATTTGAACAAACTTGGTACAGTTCTTCTAGAAACACAAAATATCAAATATCCACCTTACTTTCCTGATTTCCTGGATAACTAACCAGTTATTACCAATTTATCCAGACATATATTTCGCTCAGGTGAGCTAAAACATAGCATGACTTTACTATGAATTCTCGTGTTCAATAACACCAATGGTATTGAGCCAGGCTAACCTACATGTCTATGCAGACATGACACCATCACACTGGCCACTCAATTTTAGATTTCTGTTACTGAAAAAGTGTGGAAAATTTTTACCTGATGAATTTCAAACCACCCTTGCTCGTCTTGTGTCCCAATAACTGCTCGTTCATGGAGAAGAAGTTCCGCACATGCAGCATTTTTACCATACAAAACACTGTAATACAGGGGAGTTAACCCTCGACTGTCTTTATAATTTGTTGAAGCACCTAGGTCTAACAGTGACTGATAAATACAAAATGATTTTTTTTATATCTTCATATTCAAGGACAAAGCAAAGTTTTTGAAATAAGTTTTTACAGATTAACAATAAACGCCGAAATGCGATGAAAACCAGGTTTTCAATTACCAAGTATTGCTGTGGTTAGTCAAATCCCTGTTGGTGAATTAGGAATGAAATATGGCAGTGAAGAAACAAGAGATGTCACAGGAGACAGCGAAGCTCGACTAATAAAATACTGGACGCAGTAAGGAGGACAAAACTATGAAAGAAAAATCAATTATGTATAATTATGTATTAAGTTATAGTAAAAAAATAACAATTGTTAACATAAATTCCAAGATCAAGGGGAATAATTCTAGAAATAGTCATGCTAGAGTTATGGACCTTGTCACACAACATTTGTGTAATGATAAGAAATATATATTTGAAGTTTGAAGTAGATACCTTAAAAAGTAAAGACGTTATTATATTTCTTAAAGAAAATCCTAAGTTCAAAGATAGATAAATCTGTAAATATTGCTTCAAGAGTTATGAACATTGTCACATAAAATGTAATTGATGATAAGGAATAAGTATTTGAAGTTTGAGGTAGATACCTTTAAAAATAAAAAAGTTATAGTAAAAAATAACATTTTTCTAGTAAAAAAAATCTAAGTTAATGGGGAGATAATTCTTGCAATATTGGTGCTAGAGTTATGAACCTTGTCACATAAGCTGTGGATGATGATAAGGTACATATATTTGAAGTATGAAATTGATCCCTTTAGAAATAAATAAGTAACAGTAAAAAATAATATTTTTTATGGAAAATTCTAAGTTCAAGGGGAGATAAATCTGAAAATATTGGTGCTAGAGTTATGAACCTTGTCACATAAGATGGGGATGATGATAACGTAAATATATTTGAAGTACGAGGTTGATCCCTTAAGAAATAAAGAAGAAACAGTAAGAAATAGTATTTTTTAAGGAAAATTCTAAGTTCAAGGGGAGATAAATCTGAAAATATTGGTGCTAGAGATCAGGATCAGGATCAAGTGATCCTGATTTTATTTTCATTGTTTTATGTCACTAAAATTTATTGTGTTTTGCTAGAATTAAATAGTAAATATTCAAAATGTAAAAAATTTTTGAGATAAAATTAACAAATAACAAAACAAATACAAAAATATTCGGATCAATCTTAGGATCAGGATCAATATTGGGATCAACTGGAAAATACCCGTATCTTGTAAAAATAACAATAAATTTATTCTAAAATTTCATTAATTTGCTATTGCAAGTCCAGTTCTATCAAATTAATATTAGATATTTAATCTATAAGGATAAACAATGAAGAATATTAAGAGTTTTTAAATTTGATTCTGATCTTGATCCTGATCCTTAAATCTTTGTGAACAAGGGGCCAGAGTAGCAATGCCAGGCTGTATTTTCATGTAAGCTACACACATGCTAAGCTAAATATCAGTACCGGGTAGGTCAAAATGTACTGAATTTATTGAGTAGAAGCTAAAAATCCTATTGTAAGCAAGTGACCTTGACCTCACTTTCGTTGAAAACACGGACAGGTTGAAAATCATGACAAACATCTTTATGGACAGAGCATGCTGTACTTTAACAAACTATCTACACTTATATATGTACATGTATTTATAACAAGTATAGTTAAACTGTTTAAACATCTAAACATATTGTCTTCACCATTTAATAAACCCTAGCTAAGTACAATTAGCTACAGCATGTCCTATTAAGCTGAGGTGTTCCATTAACATAAATTGTATTGATAATGCATAATAAAAATGTCTAAAAGATTTCTTTGTTTTGTTTTTTTAATTCTTAGGAATAAAGTTTCATAAGAATTATTTACTAGTGGCTAAACTTTTCATATCCAACATCAATTTGATTCAGAATTTTTCATACAAAGTTTAATTCCTATACCTGTACTGCTACCTGGTTCCCTTGTAGTATAGCTTTATGCATGGGTGTCTGACCATGTCGTGTCCGAAAATCAAGATGGCCACCACCACTGACCAATGTTATAATCACTTCTCGACATTTATCTTTTGGCAAGCATACAGCATATGTAAGAGGTGTTTCTAAAATATTCAAAATATGATAAATAATTAATGACAGAGCCCATTTAGTGTTAAAACTTATCTGTTAAAATCAATAACTTTTAATATTAACCAATAAAATTATATAAAAAGGAGGGCATAACTAAAAAAAACATTGCTTTCAAGATTATGTCTCTTTGTCTCACATACAATGCCTTGTCATAATTATCAAAATATTCCAAATTTCAAGTTAATAACTTTCACTGTTTGAAATAATTATTAATAAGCAATGCTGTCAAAAAAAAAACTAGAACTATCACTAAATGTGATTAATACCCCCACAAGACTGCTTTGGAAATGAGGATGTTACTAGTAACAGAATACCTTGTGGTAATAAGTCCAGAAAGACAATGAAAAGGAACAAAGGGTAATAACTCTATAAATACTGAAGATTGAGTTATGGTTATTGTACACTGCACTTCCTCTTATTGCGCTTGACCATTGTATGAAGTTGTATTGAATTCCAACTACTAGTTTTCAAGTTATGCACTAGACAAAAAAAGTAACAAAGGCAATAACTGTAATTAGTCCAAATAGAGTTATTGTTCTTGTGCACTGCACTTCATCTCACTGCCCTTGACCATTGTATAGTTGTATAGTTTCATTGAATTCCATCCATTTATTTTCAAGTTATGCACTGGACAATAAAAAGTAACAAAGGGCAAAAACTTTTAAATTAGTCAAAAAAGAGTTATGGTTTCTGTGCACTGCACTTCCTCTCAATATACTTGACCATTGTATGAAATAGTTTTGAATTCCAACTAGTAGTTTTCAAGTTATGCTTTGGACAAGAAAAAAACAATGGAAAAGTAACAAAGGGCAATAACTCTATAATTACTCTGGACAGAGTTATAGTTCTTGTGCTTGACCATTGTATGAAGTTATATTGAATTCCAACCAGTAGTTTTCAAGTTATGCTCTGGATAAGGAAAAGCAACAACGGGCAGAAACTCTGTAATTAGTCAAAATGGAGTTATGGTTCTTGTGCACTGCACTTCCTCTTATTGTGCTTGACCTTTGTATGAAGTTGTTTTAAATTCCAACAAGTATGTTTTAAGTTATGCTCTGGACAAGGAAAAGTATCAAAGGGCAATAACTCTGTAATTTGTCAAAATGGATTTATAATTTGTGTGCACTGCATTTTCTCTTAATGTGCTTAAAAACTGCATGAAGTTGTATTGAATTCTCAAGTTATGCTCCAGACAAGGAAAAGTAACAAAGGGCAATAACTCTGTCATTAGTCAAGATGGAGCTATAGTTCTCATGCACTGCACTTCCTCTCAATGTGCTTGACCATTGTATGAAGTTATATTGAATTCCAACCATTAGTCTTCAAGTTATGCTCTGGACAAAAAAGCAATGGAAAAATAACAAAGGGCAATAACTCTGTAATTACTTTAGATAGAGTTAGGGTTATTGTGCACTGCACTTCCCCTTATTGTGCTTGACAATTGTATGAAGTTGTTTCGAGTTTCAACCAGTAGTTTTCAAGTTATGCTCCGGACAAGGAAAAGTAACAAAGGGCAATAACTCTGTAATTAGTCAAGATGGAGCTATAATTCTTGTGCACTGCACTTCCTCTCAATGTGCTTGACCATTGTATGAAGTTATATTGAATTCCAACCATTAGTCTTCAAGTTATGCTCCGGACAAGGAAAATGCAACCAACCAAACGACCGACCAACCGACCACCGGGTGACTCCTATACCACCTCAAACTTCGTTTTTGGGGGTATAATTAAGTTAAAAAGAAACATAGCTTTTTTGAATAATGTCCCTTGTCATGTTATAACTGAACCTTGTCATGCTTCAATTGAACCTGGTCATGTTAAAACTGAACCTTTTCATGCTTCAATTGAACCTGGTCATGTTGTAACTGAACCTTTAAATGTTATAACTGAACCTTGTCATGCTTCAATTGAACCTGGTCATGTCATAACTGAACCTGGTCATGTTATAACTGAACCTTTTCATGATTCAATTGAACCTGGTCATGTTATAACTGAACCTTCTCATGATTCAATTGAACCTGGTCATGTTACAAATGAACCTTTTCATGCTTCAATTGAACCTGGTCATGTTGTAACTGAACCTTTAAATGTTATAACTGAACCTTGTCATGCTTCAATTGAACCTGGTCATGTTGTAACTGAACCTGGTAATGCTTCAATTGAACCTTGTCATGTTGTAACTGAACCTGTAAATGTTATAACTAAACCTTGTCCTGCTTCAATTGAACCTTGTCATGTTGTAACTGAACCTTTAAATGTCATAACTGAACATTGCCATGCTTCAACTGAACCTTTGTATGTTATAACTGAACATTGTCATGCTTCAATTGAACCTGGTCATATTATAACTGAACCTTATCATGATTCAATTGAACCTGGTCATGTTATAACTGAACATTGTCATGCCTCAATTGAACCTGGTCATGTTGTAACTGAACCTTTAAATGTTATAACTGAACCTTGTCATGCTTCAACTGAACCTTGGTATGTTATAACTGAACATTGTCATGTTTCAACTAAAGTTATAACTGTTTCAACTGAACGTTGTCAAGTTATAACTGAACCTTGTCATGTCATAACTAAACCTTGTCAAGTTATAACTGAACCTTGTTATGTTATAACTGAACCTTGTCAAGTTATAACTGAATCTTGGCATGTTATAACTGAACATTGTCATGCTTCATCTACCTTGTCAAGTTAAAACTGAACCTTGTCATGTTATAACTGAACCATGTCATGTTATAACTGAACATTGTCATGCTTTAACTGAACATTGTCATGTTATAACTGAACCTTGTCATGTTATAACTGAACCTTGTCAAGTTATAACTGAACCTTGTTATGTTATAACTGAACCATGTCATGTTATAACTGAACATTGTCATGTTATAACTGAACCTTGTCAAGTTATAACTGAACCTTGTTATGTTATAACTGAACCATGGCATGTTATAACTGGACCTTGTCATGTTATAACTGAACCTTGTCATGCTTCAACTAATCATTGTCATGTTATAACTGAAACTTGTCAAGTTATAACTGAACCATGTCATGTTATAACTGAACCATGTCATGTTATAACTGAACCTTGTCATGTTATAACTGAACCTTGTCAAGTTATAACTGAACATTGTCATGTTATAACTGAACCTTGTCATGCTTCAACTGAACCTTGTCATGTTAAGTAATTTCTGTTCCATTGGAGAAACAAATGGTTTAAAATCAGTCAATGTTAACTGAAATGAAAAATCATTACAATACATGCTGCTTACAGTAATTTCCCATGCAACACAGGATCAAAGGATATTATAATTTTCTTGCAACACGATCATTTCTTCACATTATTTATTTATGTACAATAAGTTATGATACTACTGCACTGTAGTCATGAAAATCAACGTCATAATTTATGTAATATAATGTTATATAGTATATGTTATAGATTTTCTGTTATAAATCATATAAGAAGACTCTGTTAGCCTTTGTTGCAGTCATATTTATTATATAAGTCACAAGTCACCTTAAGAAAGTAAAAATTATTTGACATCAAAGTAGCAAAATAAAAACAAAGAAGTATTTTGACTTCCATTTAAAATACTAAATCAATTAAACTGCACTAAAGGCCAAAATGCAACAGATGATTCAGGTAAATGAGTAATATTTAATGAGTAATATTTTGGAAAGTCTAACAGGACGACAAAAATGAAAAAAAAAATGCAAAATAAAAATAAAAGCATTTTAGGGGCAAAACGGGTTGCATTTTGTTTAAAATGAAATACTGGAAAAAATGACCTTCAACAGAAATAATGAGGTATTCTCCTTGGTTGAAAATAAGAGTAGTCAAAATCCCAGCAATGGTAATTCAACTCCCTGTTGGTGAACAAGAGTGGGGGTGACACTAGACTTTTTCTTATTCCTAAAGTCAAACACTTCATTACAGGAAGAATATTGTGGTAAAGAATGCTCCTAGAAACATTATTTTCTTGTACAAATATAACTCAAATTTAATATCTGACAAAGATGGTCAAGGTCAGTCAAAGGTCAAGGTCATCATTAATCATCATGTCTGTTTTGTCATTAACGTTCTTGTGTTCAAAAATAAAATCAAATCCATAATATCAAAATTGTGACAATTTCAGCAAATTTTAATAATTTGACCATGACAATTAAGGTCATTTAAGGGTTAAAGTCATATCAGAAAAATTCAACATGTGGTTTTGTCATACAGTGTAACTTCCGAATTCCGGAACTTCTGAAATCCGGAAACTTCTAAAAACCGAACAATTTTTTCGGTCCCGATTTTTTCCCTTCTATTTTCTATTAATTTAATACTTCTGAATTCCGAAACTTCTAAATTCTGAATTCCGGACGATATTTTCATAAAATTAGAGTCAAATCAATGCAATTTTACCTCCAAAAACCGGAAATATCCAAAGGTGTGAAATACATTATAAACCCTGCAGGAAGATTTAATCTCCCTATCGATTGTTTACTAATTAGCGGTGATCTTGTAATTTGACCACGTTAAAATCACAAACTGTGAAATGGTATGTTTGAAGTGATGCGGTTAATCAAAGTAATTTACGGCGGTCAGTTAATTTGAAGTGTTTATTAGCGGATTAAATGACAATTAATTGGACAATGTATGCATCAAAAGTCTTTAGGGATTTTATTGCATTTGATGTAATAATAAATTAACTAGCATCGGACGATATGTAAGTTTATGCAATTAACAACATTTCTACAAACTGATAGAAATTCAAAAGCATTTGCAAGTAAGATAAAAATGTATTCTTTTCATTCACATCTTTATCTTGATTAAAAGACTATTATATATGATATTACAGTAAAGGTCACTTCTTCCTTGACATTTAGTGATATTAAGTGGCTTAGTCTTGTCCGCATTATCATAAACCTCTGAATTCCGGAAACCTCTGAAATCCGAACTTTTTGACGTCCAATGGGTGTTCGGTTTTCGGAAGTTACACTGTATGTCCAATATAAATCATATCAAAAAAGTAAACTAGAACTCCGCGAGTCAGAAGTGTCACTTTGTCAACAGTATAGCTGTCAGTTAGGCATTTTCTTCTTAAATATAGGTTAATTATAAACACTGCTCTTGCAATGTACATGTACCTTTAACGTTAGTGGCATTTGAACCGATTGTAACAATTGTATGTCAGGATTAATAAAATTGTTATATTATCAAAAATAACTAGAAATTGTCTTAAGTGCCAAATATTGGGGTTACTTTTGTCAGTAGTATCAGCGGTAGTGTCCCCTTAGGCTTGTCCGGAGCATAACTCAGTTACTATAAGTTGGTTTGGCTCAAAACTTGGTATGTTGACCCGAAGTGCAGTGCACAAGAATCGTTTCTCTGAACTTCTTATTGTTTGATTTATTGCCCTTTGTTAAATTTCATACTTTATTTTTGTCTGGGCCATTTCTTATTAACTATAAAAGCTATGGTCTTGAACATCATAGGATGATAGATCTCATTGAGAAGAAGTGCAGTGCACTAAAATGGGTACTCATTTTTGCATTATTGCCCTTTGTTAAGGATGGATAGATTTCTTTCTGTTAGTAAACAGATCAGTTCTTACCTCCTGAACTATCATGAAAGTTAGGATCCAATCCTTTATTTGTAAGTTTGTTTATCTTTGACAGATTTCCATTCTTCACATGTTCTATGAATTGGCGAAAATTGGCCTGAAATGAAAAATAATAAATATCTATTGCAGATAAGACGGACTTTGAAAATAGCAGATTTGTCACAATCTATAACCGGAATAGAACAAACTTGTCTGGAGATTCTTTTTCGGGTTTGATATCACCTGCTAGGTCAGAGGTATCAGTTGGAAAATTATTTATTAAAACAATACTTTTAGCTTGCTGAATATTATTTGTGGATATTGTCAACCCCAGAACTGGTTTATTTGCTGTGGTTTATTTGCTCGGAGTAATGTAACAGTTCAAGGGTTGGCAATATCAACTTCCATCTAGACAGCAATGTGTTATTGAAAATTATAGAGTTAAGTAGAAATTATGTGTCCTAGGTCCAGGGTGATATACAAAATATTTGCCAAAACTAATCTTTGTGAGGGGGATATTTATGTAGAGTAGATGTTATAAGAAATATAACCTAAGGTGTATTCACTATATTAATAAAGGGAGATATTATATTGGAACATATTACAGGTGTATGGCAGTTTAACATTGAATAGTTTATCAAGGTATCAAATAGAGCCAACTTATAGAGAAAATTTCTTTTGGTAACAAAATCATTTCTTGAAAAAAAAAACAACACTTCATTCATGACTGTTTTATTCTACAGACATGACATTATTATTTTACTTCCACGTAAGTAATTGTTAATAAATTGTAAATAAAAATAGTCATACAAAACATCTATATTACACCTTATTGGCCTTTAATTAAGTCACAAATATTGTTTCAAACAAAAGCAAACAAGAGGGCCAAGATGGCCCTAGATCGCTCAACTGACCCATCAAACTTATCCGAACAATTAGCTAGACATTCTGACCAAGGATCATGACAGGTGAGTCAAAAATGTGACCACTAGAGTGTAAACAAGGATTATCCATATTTGAGCAGTGTGACCTAGTTTTTGAACCCAGGAAATCCATATTCAAACTTGACCTAGAAATCATCGAAACAAACTTTCAGATCAATTTCCAGGATATTTGGATCAAAACAGTAGCCACTGAAGTGTTAACAAGACTTTTCTATTTTTAGCTCCTGTGACCTAGTTTTTCATCCGAGATGACCCATGTTCATCTCATCCAATCTATTACCTAGACAATCATCCTGACCAAGTTTGATGATAATTGAGTCAACAATGTGACCACTAGAGTGTTAACAAGGTTTTTCCATATTTGGGTGTTAAACCCAGGTGACCCATATTCAAACTTGACCTAGAAATCATCAAAACAAACTTTCAGACCAATTTCCAGGATATTTGGATCAAAACAGTAGCCACTAGAGTGTTAACAAGATTTTTCTATTTTTAGCTCCTGTGACCTAGTTTTTCATCCGAGATGACCCATGTTCAATCTCATCCAGGCAATAACCTAGATAAGCATCCTGACCAAATTTGATAACAATTGAGTGAAAAATGTGACCACTAGTGTTAACAAGGTTTTTCCATATTTGGGCGGTGTGACCTAGTTTTTGACCCCAGGTGACCTATATTCAATCTTGACCTAGAAATTATCAAAACAAACTTTCAGACCAATTTCCTGGATATTTGGATCAAAACAGTAGCCATTAGAGTGTTAACATGATTTTTCTATTTTTTGCTCCTGTGACCTAGTTTCTCATCCGAGATGATCCATGTTCGAACTCATACGAGGAATTACCTAGACAAGCCTCCTGACCAAGTTTGATGACAATTGACTCAAAAATGTGACCACTAGTGTTAACAAGGTTTTTCTATTTTTAGCTCCTCGGACCTAGTTTCTCATCCAAGATGATCCATGTTCAAACTTATCCGAGCAATTACCTAGACAAGCATCCTGACCAAATTTGATGATGATTGAGTCAAAAATGTGACCACTAGTGTAAACAAGGTTTTTCTATTTTTTAGCTCCTGTGACCTAGTTTTTCGCCGAGATGACCCATGTTCGAACTCATCCGAGCTATTACCTAGATAAGCATCCTGACAAAGTTTGATGATGACTGAGGCAAAAATTTGACTACTAGAGTGTTAACAAATAAGTGTGGATGGCAAGCAAATAAGTGTGGATGGCAAGGGACATTCAACGATCCTAAAAGCTCACCCTGAGCTAGCTCAGGTGAGCTAAAAAAAACAACAGCAACATTGTCAAAAAAAGTCTCCAAAGTGTTACACCAGAAATAATTTACATTAATGAAATACTAATTCAGTTGTGTTTTCAAACATTGAGTTTTCATTGATATATCAGTTGAGCATGTCATGTAATGATGTAAATTACCTTGTTATGAAGTTGTTTAAGTTTTCTGGGGTTCAAATGTATCACTTTATACACTCTTCTCTTGTACTTGAACTGTCAACATTCAAAAATAGAACATAAATTATGTACACATGTGTCAAACAGACACTTTTACTTGTATAATACACTTTTCTATGTTAAGCATACAGATCTTTGCAGAAAAGTATGCCAGCAAAAACATATATTAAGAAACAACAATTTTTAAAGAAAATATAATATAAATTTAGAGGCATTTAGTAGTCCATCATATTGTACTCCCAGAGGAGATATTTTGCCTCAAGAAGTGAGATTCTGAGCCAGTCGGCGGTCAGCACGTTCCATTATTTGCAGTGCTGATAATAGTTTAAAAAAGACAATATAGAAAAGGGAGCATAATTATGCTCATAACTAAACATGTTTTGCAGAGAAAAATACCTGCTTTTAATAGCCAACAAAATACCTTTACAGTTTTTGAAAAAAAGTCGAATATTCCAAGTCAACAAGGGAAATAATTAAGCAAAAACATCATGATTATCTGCCCCTTAGATAAGCAAATTCAAAATTAGTAGAAACTTAAAAGTGAATTATCTCTGATACCTTTGAGAGTTTAAAGTGATATCAGGATACAGTTCTTATGGACAGACAAACAGACCAACTGACATTCAGGGGGCAAATCTTTAAACCTCCTTGTTAGTAACCAGTATATAACACTTTTAAAAGCAAATTCTTAACTCAAAGAGGAGATATTTCTTGAAATAAAGATGCTAGAGTTATTAACCTTGTCATAAATGATGTGAGTGATGACAAAGAACAATTATCTGTATAAGAGATACAATAGATACCACATCCGCGCAGTCTGATCAGGATCCATGCTGTTCGCTGTCAGTTTCTCCACTTGTAATAGAGTTGGTAAGCGAATAGCATGGATCCTGATCAGACTGCGCGGATGTGCAGGCTGGTCTGGATCCATGCTGGTGTTGGTTTTGTCATGATGCAGCTCATATATTTAGAACTTTTGGTGTACTCATGGGATCCAATTTTTGCAGATGGACAGAAGAATGTTCTGTCTGAGTTGTCTTTATTTATTTTTTTAATTGATCTTTCTTGATCTAAAAAACCCCATAAGCAATGTATTCTTAGTTCATCCCCACAAGTACAAGTCTGTATGTAATGAATATTGATATTCATCAAATGTCACAATAAGGGGCCTAACTTTGCAAAAATGAATTTTAGAATTATCTGCCCTTCTGAAATGGTGACATATTTTGATTGTGAACATCTATACTGGGCAGGAACCAGTTTCCGGACAGAATTCGAGTTTTTTTAATTGTCTATTTTTTAATAATAAACATGCATTAATAAAAGTAACATACCAAAAACCTGAGCTCTAACTATGTCTGATAACACAATTAATACTGCCTGGTGACGTAAGCAATGTACAAACTGAAGGGTTAAATTAGGTCATCAAAAGTGTAAATTGTTCACTCTTGCAGAACCAGTTTCCAGACATATATAAAGCTGCTATTCATATCTGTTTTTAACTGATAATTATTCTAATATAACAAAAAATTTCTTCTCAAATATTAGCTTTCTTATATAATTAAGCTGATTTACTGAAAAATGTTTATGATACGAAAAATAACGATCACGTGATGGGTCTCGGAATGACTGAAAAGTGAAACGGATATTTTTGTGTGTACGGCAGCAACGAAGTGCGAAAGTGGAGTAAACCTAGCTAAACACCGTTTTCCGATACGTTACAGATTTAGCTCTAGGGAATTACACCCAATGAACTTCGAATGAAGTACATTGTGCATTAATTGCTACCCCAAATTATATCCCGAAATAAACAAAATATTGCGCATGCGCAGAACAAATTACATGCCCCAAAGGGATATAAGGCTGTTTTTAAAACACAGGTAAGATATCCTCACTAAATTTTAATGAAGGAAGTTTATTTTCTCAAACAATCAAACCAAGCATCTTCATTACATATAATACCTATCGTCATCGATAAAGCCAAAATTAAGCCGTTATAATACTTGTCCGGAAACTGGTATTGTCCGGAAACTGGTTCCTGCCCAGTAGTAAGTTTAAAGTGAATAGTGAACTCTGATAGTTTCTGAGAAAATGGATCTTATCATAAAGATTAACTAACAGGGCTAAAAATCTAAGTTGACAAAGGGGCATTCCTTTGCAGATTATCTGCCCTTTTGAAACGGTGTCCTTTTATGATAATGAACATGATTGTATGCCAAGTTTGAAGTGAATAACTTTATGAGAAAATGGACCTTAACAAAAAGGTTAACCTTGTGTCTACACCGAGAGGATCATGACAATAACTTTTCTGGAGCTAAAAATATGTATCAGAATCTATTTTTGGATGTTAAAATATTTTGACAAGAATAATTAACTGATAATTCCAATCATTTTCAAGCTAGAGAGTAATGTAGAAGAGAGCAAATATTTCAGCACTAGCACTTTCTCTGCTGTACAAACATGGCATCAGTAGAATTGCTTCTATCAAATTTCTTTTCAGTCATATTATAACAAAATATTTTAGACTTACAACATCAATGTTAAACTACTCTTACAATGTACTTGACAATCAAGCTTTTTCTTGACAAAGCCATTAATCATATAACATAAGAATAAAAATACCATCAATAACCAAGTTTCTAAAAATGATGACATTTGCAATCAACTATAAGATAACATGCTTTAGATGGTCCTCTGAATTGAAAGAAATTAAATAAATTTGTGTTGTAATTGAGTAAATACTCTTTAATAATGTTTTCTATTGAAAATCAATATGACATTACCTCTATAAATCCTATAGGACCATGAAGTGGGTATTCTCTAAGTAACCTTTCCTCCTCAAGGAACTTTCCAGCTCTTCCATTCATTGGAGGCATGTATATCCCATAATTCAGTGGGTCCTTCAAGTCCTGAAAGTGTAAAAAGTTAATTAAATGTGATACATACATTAACACAACAGCAATTCAGTCTCTGTTACTAAAATTAAATCATATGATCTAAATGGAGACTGTATATAAAACAGTAATAAAAACAGAGGGGGTGTCTTTTATTAAATTTATTAATATTTGAGCTAGAGTTGTAAACCTTGTCACATATGATGTGGTTGATGATCAGAAACAAATATTTGTAGTTTGAAATAAACACCATAAGAAATAAAGAACTAAAAAGCATAAAAAATTGAATAAAAAATCTTGACAGTGAGTAGGACAGCTCTCAAAATAAGCTACTCCCTATAGTCAAGATTAAAATAATGTGTATAATCTATCCATATTTCAAGTTTCATAAACATATTTTCAGTACTTTTTGTGTTATCACGGGATCAAGTTTTTGTGCTAAATTTTACATATTTTCAGTCTATTTATTGCCATAGCAACCAAAATTTTCAACATAGGAAGAAAAGAAAAACACATGCATAATCTCCAAACTGCCATCTACCCATATATCAAGTTTCATAAAAATATTTTCAGTACTTTTTGCCTTATCATATGAAGAATAATAATATTTTGTTCTAGAACATTTTATTATATCTCACACTTGTAAATTTTAGCTCCATATACGGTATATTTATTTCGTGACTTGTTGTTATTTCTGATACTCAACACTTTCAATGTAATATTAAAGTTTACTGAACACTGAGAAACTACAGTTTAAAGGTTGCATACAAATAATTTTTTACTAAAATTAATTATATATATCAAAATGTTTAAGGTGTATGAATTTACAGGTTATCAAAAAATAATGAAGTAATGTAGGTTTATAAACAAAGTTGTACACAAGTTAGTTTTTGGTTGTTTGACCAATATACATCATATTATATTCATTTTACATATTGTAAAATTAACAAAAGGAGTAATAAATCATCATCAATATGTTGTCAATGTAGCCACTGGATAGTCATGAAATGCCAGGAAAGGGCTTCCTCTTTCAAGAATTTTTTGAGAGAGCATGCCCTAGACTTATATACATGTATATGAAGCTGTTGTATAATTTCATTGTTTTATGACACTTTATTGCAGAAACATGCAAACCACAGTGATGTGGGATTTGTTTTAAACACCTAGAACACACAATCATGTATCCAATATAACATTTATTTACAATCTGATATGTGAATGCTAGAAGGAAGATCTATGTCATAAATGAGCCAAGTGGGGGTATGTAGTTAACATGTCAGATTTGAAATGTGAGGATTTGCTAGCCACACAGGTTCAAATCCTGTCATAGGCAAGCCATTGTTTCCTTGATCAAGAACACTCATTGCTCAGTACTGTTTGGAAGCTTCCTAAGTTCCTACACAAATTAAAATACATTCTGTATAAATAAGAGAGCCTTACCAAATATAAGCAGTGTCTGATCAAGTTCTATATTATTGTTTCCCTATTGGTTACCATGATATTTACAATGATTGCTTCCAATGAGTAGTGTACCTCCATTACGCAAATCTAGTAATAATATATTATCATAGATTAATGCACTTGAAAAAGAATTCAACTTAAATTTACCTTTGAAAATATAGTAAGAATTCGTTGTTTGGCCTCCCATACAGACTCATCTAGTTCAAACTGCAAACATTTCTGAAATATACAACATGAAAAACTTCTTTAAAACATACAAAATTCAGCTAAAGTGATCAGATCATTTCTTATAACAATCTTCCATGAACGGTTAAAATAACACTGAGCAAGCAATTTTTTCACTTTTGCTTTCTTTGCAATGAACTTTAATAGTAAATTACATTTATGTAGTAATAAAATACATTAAAACATGTATATACTGGCACACCCTAAAACCATGTCAGTTATTACATATTTTCTGAAAGAGTAAGTAATTATCAGAATTGCATGGCTCATTTTGCATATATTTACATACAATTGATTGTTTTTTTGACATGACAGGACTGGAACTTTTTTCCCATTTGATAACTTTTGTAAAAATTTTCATTCCCTCACCTTGTTATTACAGAATATTAATTTTTATTGTGCAAAATTTTAAACTGGGATAAGAATCACGCAAAAAAAAAAGAAAAATCAAAATTTAATTCAATTCTGAGTATATGCTTCACTTGATCTATGTAAGATTTTCAAGTTTTTTTATAGTGTTTTTGAACTTAGTGAAGCTACTTATGTAAAAGCAGGTTTCTGAAAAAAACTTAAAACTTGAAACTCCTAGTATTTACTAAATTTAACCTAAATGTGCTTTGTACCTTGAAAATAAGAAAGAAAAACCACCAACTCATCTTCTTTAATGCCACCAAGCTGTTTACAGCCACTTATTATAAACAACTATTATATACTTCAATAATTATTTAAAAATTTCCATTTTGTTTTTTCTTCATCATTACAGGATGCAAGCAGGTTTTTTTATTACAAAAAAATCTTTCTTAAAAATCACTATATTTTTTAAATTGATATTAATTAGAAATTATTTTACATTAAAGAAGGAATCATATGGTTAAAGACAGTTTGAATTTTAAGTTCTTCACATTGTAAACTTCAAACAAGTTCTTACTTTTTACCTACATTTTATAAAAAGTCAATGACCTTATCTAAACAGAATGTGTTACGCTAATTTTTTATAAATATATTTCTTTCTTTGTAGTTTTTTATCAACTTAAATGACTCAGTTGGTTCATAAAACCTTCCATCAACATTTATTATAATAAACAATTAAGTCCAGAAAGACAATTAACATCAAACCTAAATCACTTTGTAATCTGTAGGGCAAACATTTAAAGCCACTTACATTTCTTTCATGCCATGTAGGCAAAACTTGTCTGAAGTTTTATCAGCAATTTTAAACCTTGATTAAACAGTGAATTACAGAGCTTAGATATATACATATGCAGGTATAAAGGTCCTATAGGGTAACTTTAGTATAATTATTTTCATTTACAATGGAAAGGTATTCAAAGCTTGTTTGTTTAGAGACACATTAAGACTGTTTTTATTCACTACAATAGTAATTATTATGATTTAGTACAAAACCTGTCTTACAATTACTTTTTAATTGTTTTAGTCAAACAAAGATGCAAATTATCAGTAAATGATCAGAAAATGTAGATAACAATGCCTAATATGATCATGTACACCAGTTATATCCTATATATAACTGAATATTTAAGAAAAGCAAAAATAATAAACATTAGTCAGATAGAAATTATATATTGATTTTTTTCTTATTGTGGAATGAAAATTAGTGGCCTAAATAAATGTACCGGTATGTGACACTCAAGTACTAGTGATGAAGAATTTAAGCCATAATCAGGTCTCAGCCTTTTAACATGAGAGGCATTTTAATCAATTATCTTGCAGACAGCCATCTTGTTCAGCAGATTTAAGCAATTTTTGAAAGTACTACCCAAAAATAATTCCTTTTTTTAGTAAAGAACCATATAATAATAATTCCTGTAGACTTTCACCAAAATCTAGCACGAGAATGAAGAGGAAACATCGTATAAAGGTTCTCTGGTGGCTATCCATTTGAACAAATTTTATAGAAGACCAATTATCTGTAAAGTTTCATATCTATTGACTAAAGGGTTTAGGAGAAGATGTTAACAACAGACCACAGGGCGACCCGAGCATGTTGTGCTTAGGTGAACTAAAACCGGTCAAATATGTAGTAATTACGTTTATGTGCAAAGTGGATAGAAATAGCACAACTACCTGGACTTTTAATTCGGGGACGGAGACACGGATAAAAACAGTTCCTGTCTGATGTTCGGACATATATGTTGATGTTGTACCATATCGAGCATCTTTTAACGTACTTCTCCGATCTTGATCAATCTCACGTAGTAGCAATGCTGTGTTGTTCTCATGATCTCGTAACGTTCCACAGTGCTGCATCCTCTCTATAGTGTCTCCTCTAAAATCTTGTTGTAATGTGCCACCTCGAAATTCCGTCATAGTTTAAACTTTAGTCATTTCTTTAAAATCCAAAACTGAAGTTGAAAGGAAACATTTGTACTATAAAAGTATTACTTCTTGCATTGAACATTATCATCACACGCAAATAATTATATGCTGATTTGTTTATCAATAGGAACATAAAATTATCATTTCATGTCTTATGAATCCAACAAAATGTTATATCTATTTATAGTTGAATTATTTATGTTGAATAAAATTCCTGAAAATCCAAAACTTCTAGGAAATGTTAATAAATACAAAACTATCCATAAAAAATTACACTTTCTTTCATTAAATAAAATGCTGCATCATCTATTGTTATTTACAAGAAATATCAAATTCTTCATTAAAAGTCCAGCAATAAAAAACATAAAATGCAAGCCTTTCAACCTGTAACTTTAATGAACTGTTTAGTAGAAATGTACATCATAAAATCAGCAGGCATAAATTACAAAACATTACACGGATATGACACTCAGCATAATTATACTGTCAACATGGAATTGAGTTTATGTCAGTGCACTCAATTTGGTGTCAGTCAACATACACATTGACAGGTACAGCACTAATTATATGATACTCCATTCTTTTAAATTCAAGCTTTGTCTTTCTGACAACATCCTTTTTGCTACATGTTCAATTACTCTTATGTAACATGTCTATCTGAATGTTTGATGTAATAAATCAATGAAAATATAATACACGTATATACAATGTATATTGAAATATTGCTAGACTTTTCAACGGTTATTCATATTCAATATGTATAAAAGCTGGAGAGATATGGTCAATCACAGATCAAAGTAAAATATTCAAAAATGTGATATTGAAATATTAAAAACTGGCAATTAATGGCAAATTTTCTTGTGTACTGGCTAAAAATGAATATTATTGGCAAATCAACTTTCACTTTGAGCACACAGGTGGCAGTATCAGTGTTTGGACACCCCACCCCTATCTGCCCCTGGACCCCTACTACAACCCTGAAAAAAAAATTCAACACTCTAAGGCTTACTATAAGGTACCAAATACAAAACCACCGATGACATTATATAAAAAAAATTTTTTTTCCACTATCAAAATTATAGTCTATAACTATAAACATTTTAAACAATTGGCACACTAATTGCTTGTAACAGGATTTTCAACCAAAGCACATGTTAAAATTGGACAAAATGTGCCCTCATCCAAGCCCTGGTGATGGATGAGGGGCATTATTGGAGTGAAAGCCGGAGGCTGAGCATGTATACTTAGCATGATAGTTGCGACAATAGTAACGTGAGACGCACTTTAAAAATGAAAGCGGAAACCCCAAGCACGTGACCGCTCCATTCCTCGGAAGTGTAAACCAGCTGATTGTCATAGTTTAAAGTATAGCTTTGTTGACAAAAACACATAAAGGGTAGGGTACAAGAAAAAATATATGATGCAAAAAGGGAGGGAGTATACATGCTCAGCCTCCGGCTTTTACTCCAATAATGCCCCTCATCCATCACCAGGGCTTGGATGAGGGCACATTATTTTCGCAAAAGCCTTCGGCTTTACATGTATACTTAGCATCTTTAAAGTTATGTCAACAAAGCCTAATATCTCAACAAAGGGACACAGGAATATAATTATTATCTTATCTCTTCAAAGGATAAAACTGCACAAACACAAAATTCCCTCTCAAAAACAAATTTATTAAGACATTTTCAAGATACTGTAAACTCAACATTCACTTTGAAAAGCAGAATATTCAAAAAACAAAGTATCAAGATAAAACAGCCTGTGCAAAAGACATGTCCTTATTTTCAAGTACTGATCTATAATAGAATTTATAAAAATTACTATCTGACTTCCAGTCTGCAGTATCTAAAATAGACTTTAGAGAACACTTTCTAAATGCTGCTGATACAGAGGCGGACCTGAAGGAATGTGCCTTAAAAATTCCAGTATCAATACCTGCAAGATCTAACACGGACTTCAACCACCTAGCTACAGTGCTAGTTGTTACCTTTTCAAAAGTAACATATGATATTAATAGCTGTCTCGACTTTCTCAATACCTTAGTTGCCTTAATATAATACAATAATGTATGCATAACACATAATGGTTCTTCCTTGAAATGTTCGAACCTTAAAAAAAAAACATTAGATCTACCTGATCTAGATGTTTTTAACAAACCTGGAAAGAAAAAGATAACTTCAGAGTCTTTATAACAACAATAATCCAAATTCAAGGAAACCATAGTCTGGGCTCGAGGAGCACAACACAAAGCAATTAAGGCTACAACCTTAAAAGTTAACAATTTCAAAGATAAAGTTTGTAAAGGGAAAAGTGACTTTAAAAAATTCAAAACCACTGTAACATCCCATGTAAACTTATACTTCGATGAAGGGGGATTACAATGAAAAATACCCTTCATAAACTTTGAAATAACAACAGTATTACTACACCAAGAATTACCAAATAAGGATAAAGTCTGTAAAAGCATAGCTTTATGGGTATTCAAAACAGAATAAGATTTCTTATCACGATATAATGAAAACAAATAGTTCACTACTTCAAATTCAGTTGTGCAAAAGGGATTTTTATATTGTTTAGTACACCAAAAATACCATCGCTGCCATGCCAAACCATATTGTTTCCTTGTTCCTGGTCTCCATGCCTGCAAGATGATCTCAACAGCTTCTGGTGAAATGTTTCTATTGATGAATGATTTCCTGAGATAATAACACCAATCAAACGTGGCAACCTGACAGGAAAAGAAATCATACTGTGTAACACTAACGGAAACCAGGGTTGAGATTTCCAAAAAGGCAAAATTAAAAGTGCTTTCTCAACCTTATCTTCATTGACTTTGTTTATAACTTTACCAATGAGATTAAAGGGTGGAAAAATATATGGCAAGAAACATTGCCATGATCTTGAAAAGGCATCATAGAAAAAAGCCCCTGGTTCTGGAAACCAAGATACAAATTTACTTAATTGCTTATTTATTCTAGAAGCAAACAAATCAATATCAGGCAAAAAGAAATGTTTACACAACCTATTAAAAATTACAGGTTTAAGCATCCATTCAGTGCTATTAGAAAAATTTCTTGAATAGAAATCTGCTGTAGTATTTTCTTTACCAGCTATAAAAGAAGCAGATATAAAAATATTTCTATCAAGACACCACTGCCAAATTGTTTTTGATAAACCATCTAAACATAATGAGGCCATACCACCCATGTCATTTATATACTTCACTGCTGTTACACTATCACTTTGAAATTCTATATGAACATCAGTGCAATTATAATATAAAGATTGAAGAGCAAAATTAATTGCTGTCAATTCTAAAAAATTTATGTGGTTTTTAGATTCATCAACTGACCAGCGACCTTGTGCTGATTCATTAGAAAACAGATCAACACAACCCCATCCTAACAGCGATGAATCCGTCCTACACATAAAATCTACCTTTCGTGGTCGTATTGGCTTTCCATTTTTTATTCTGATATTATCACACCACCAAATCAATTCTTGTTTACTATCTTCAAAAAGCTGAACTTTATTTTGAAAATTATTATCAGAGCCTAAACCACAAATTTTATTTCTTTCTAATGAACGATAATGAAGTGGGGCCTCTAAAACAGCATAGAAGGCATTAATAACCAAACCAATAAAAGATGCTAACTCTTGCACTAACACAACATATTGTTGTAACAGATTGTGTGCCTTTTCAAGAATTTTTATAATCTTTTCTTCTGTGAGAAAAACTTTAAACAGTACTGAGTCTAAAAACAAACCAAAAAATACTATTCTCTGTGTAGGAATAATAACAGATTTCTTTACATTTATTGTAAAGCCCAATGAGCTCAAAGTATTGCAAATTAGATGTGTATTTTGAGAACAAATTTCTCTATTTTTACTCATATTCAGAGAATCATCAATATAATATGAACAACGAACACCTTGGTGTCTAAGCCAGGCAAAAATAGGCTTTAGAATTTTAGTAAACACCCTTGGAGCTGAACTAAGACCAAAAGGTAGAACAACAAATTTCCAAACTGATCCTTTCCAATGAAATTTTAGATATTTCTGAAAATCAGAATGAATAGGAACTGAAAAATAAGCATCAGCAAGATCTACCGATGTAAAATAATCATTAAGTTGGATAAGGTCTAACACAACTTTGAGATGTTCCTGTTTAAAATGTTCATATTTGACAAATTTATTTAATTTTTTCAAATTTATTATGGGCCGAAATTTACCATTTGGTTTTGGCACAATAAAAATATTAGAAGTAAAATCTCCCTCTTCTGGGAAGGAGGGGACAATAGCCCCTTTTTCATATAACATTTTTACCTCATTATCAACAATTGCTTTTTGTTCCTGAGAAAAACCAATTTCAAAAGGAACTTTATCTTGGAAAGGAATTTGATCAAAATCTATTTTATAACCTTTAACAGTTTGTAAAATCCAAGGATCTTTAGTAAAAATCTGCCAAACATGTTCGAAATACTGTAATTTTCCTACCTGGCTTACTCGTTTGGGACACTTGCAGAAGTGACTGTTGCTACTGGGGGTCTTCTTGTCCTGAACTGGGTGCTACGACCTCTATAAGAACCAGACTGATAATACATGTTATTGTATTGATTACTAGGACCATATTGCTGGTAAGGATGCTGTCTACCTCTTCTTGGGTAAGGATATCTACTTGCAGCACTAACTCTGCCTCGGAAAGGTCTATTATCATACCTCGGAAACGCAAGAGAAATACCAGTATCACAATTTCTGATTTCCTTGGTTATATCATCCCCAAACAATTGAGAAGTTATTGGGGTAGACTGGTTACAAATATTTTTATATTTCTTTTTTAGGTTAGGACGTATAATGTATCTACGCCTTAAAGATAACTGATATTGAACCTGGCTGAACATAGTTAAGGCATCAGAAATGTATTCTTTGGCCTTCTGATTCAAATTATCACCCATGATTCCAGCCTATTTAATAACAGGTACAATACCTGTTGCAACAAGATTTTGAATATCGACCAACATGC